TCTCGTTTTCAACTTTCTCTTAGTCTGTTCCACATATGTGGCGTCGCAATCGTTACAACTAATTCTATACACTGCATTATTATTAGAATCAGTAGAGATCTTGTCTTTATGTCTCTTTATAAGTTTATTCAGCTTATTGAGACATCTGAACCTAACTAAAAACTCTTTCTTACTTATAGCCGAGGTCAATTATTAATTGACACCCTTTGTTTTATGCTCGTCTTTGGCCTATTGTCCTGTCTTTTTTATTGTTTATATATAACGAGCTGGTAATTTATTTATCATTTGTAAAACATTTTAAATTATTATTACATTAAAATATTTTTAAAAAATATTCTAGAAATATTGTACAAATATCATAAGAAATATTTCTGTTGAAATATTTTAAGTAAACATTTCAAAAACTCTGATATGCTAAACACATTTATATTTCAGAAATATTTCATGAAATATTTTCAAATATTTCAAATCTTGCATGAAATATTTTGGAAATATTTTTGAAATATTTTATGCTGTGTGGGTTTTGAGAAAAATATTTTAGACAAAAGTTGTAGAGCTTAATAAAAGAATCTATTTAATGATTTTATCAGTTTGATTTTGGATGGTGTTGTCAAGGTCAAATCAAGATTTCATCGATTTTTTTGAATGGAACACCCTATTTTTGGTTTTCAAAAAGCTCTTAACGCATTATAATTTGACCAATAAAAACAAGATCCGGTCTATCTGGTCAGTGAAGGCATAATAAATATAGATGGACCTGGAATTTTCATTCTTCACTTTCTTTCACTTCATAGCAAATGTTCAAAATGTGCACCATTTACGATTTGACAATGTGCTATCCGATCATGAAAAGCAGACACAATATTCCTAATGAAATTGGGGTCAATCAGCATATCTTCATCGTGATTCGTTGGCGAAGATCATTCAGATTTCTTGGCCGCTACAATTGTTTGATTTATTGCCTCTAGATTTCTTCTTGGAAATTATTTAAAAAACAAAGTTTATAAGACAAGGCTAAGCCGAAAATGGTGCACATTTCGAACATTTGCTATGAAGTAAAAATCCAGATTCATCTATTCTATCTTACCTTTATTGACCGGATAGACGATCTTGTTTTTACTGGTCAAGTAATGCGTGAGCTTTTCAAGAACTTTTTGAAACGCTCTCTCTCACACACACACACACACACACACACACACACACATACACACACACACACACACGCACACATACACACAAAAGATGTGCTAATGCCATCGATATTGTAACTTTTAAGCTTCATAACTTGAGATTTACTTAACGAAGAAGTACTTTCTTATATTATAGTGCTTTGGAAAGCTCTTGACACCAGCTATTAGATTTTGGAACCAAAAATAAGATGTTCTATTTTAAAAAATCGATGAAAACCTTGACCTGATCTTGACGACGACAGCCAAGGTCAAACAGATAAAATCATTAAATAAATTCTTTTAAGCCCTACAACTTTGTCTAAAACATTTTTCTCAAAAATGCTCAATTTCCGTAATATTAAGGAATTTCCACACTTTTCGAACACTCTCAATATGTTTTTTTGTAACATAAGAAATGGAAAATATTGCCGTCAAGCATTTTTGTTATATCAAATTTTAATAAAATGGATATCACAAATATCAAAGCCACAACAATAATATTAAAATAAAAGCATTATTTAAACTTTGTGCTTATTATTTTTAAATAATATTTATATAATTTCCGAATAATTGTTAATAGTACAAGCAAGAATTTCGAACAGCATCGAATAGCATTTTATTTCAAAGCAAATACTAAATTGTACTAACTAGTTTTCTTTTACATATACATGTAGATATTGAATACAATATTCGTCGCTTGTATTGCACGTGAATTAAAACTGAGATCGCAAAAAGATGATTAGTATTTTCTTTTTTTCTCCTCTTTTCCCTATTTGAACATAAAGATATTTACAAAGAAAAAAAGAATCGCGGCCAAAATATGTCTTGTTAATAATACTCAATTCATATTGTCAGTTGTGAGTGCGAGAGTAGTAAGCACTGATCGACGGTTTGGATTCACACCCAAATTTTCCCAATTTATCCAGGACAAGCGTGCCGTCAAATCTGCAACAATATCGCAATACTTAGTGCAATCGATTATAATATGAAGCTTATTACTTATAAGGATGTTTAGTACCTACTAGTAGCAAAAAGTTAAAGAACT